GGGCCCCCGTCGCCATCAATTGATTCTCCTCGAAATATCGGTCGGACAGCACTCCAGGAGAGGTCTGGGGACTAGCGGTACCTTGTTTGTCTCGACCCCAAATTGGGTCCAATTTGGGTTGGGGGATCGCGCCGCATCGCCGATGCATCGGCGCAGCGGCTTGATGTGGGGCCCGATTTTCTCCTAGCAGACGTCGCCGCTGCAACGGCGATGCCGCGCGATCCCCCGAGCCCATCGACTCGGATCCCATTTACGAGTGTCGCTCGGCGGCGAGCGAGGGAGTGAAGTGAGAAGGATAAGGCCTTCTAAGCAGGCGGCGGGGCCTCTCAGAAGCCACCTGGCCTTCTGAGAAGCTGTCTGCTTCTTCGGGGAAGGCTCGGAAAACTTCTCAAAAGGCCCGGAAACTTCCGAACCTTCTGTGAAGGCCCGCCCCTTCTCACTTCCCCCCCTCGCTGACCGCCAAGTCGTCGTCGTCGTCCTGCTCCCAGCCCAGCCCTTCTCTTCCGAGGGGTAAAGGGGATGGGAGCCAGCAGTGTCCAGAAGGGCGTGTCCGTCCGGCACCTGGATCATCGAGGACATGAGAACCCTTGACCTTGATAACACAGTGAGGACGTGACCTCGCTTGGGTCTCTGCCTCTGCACTGGTGATAGTAAGCCTGGGCGGTTCGATTCGATACACCTGCAGGGATGACGCCCTACAGTGGAGACCCACACCAAGAGACACCCTGCTCGCCTCCAGGGTGCCTTGGGCTTCTTGGGCTTTGATGGTTTTGCGATGGATGGCGCGACGTTCCCAAACCAAACAGCAGTGGACGTCCTTGGGTCTCAGACTTGGGTTTCTCTTATGGAAGGCTTCTTGTGGTCGGGCCCCTACTGTATCCCTTCTGTGTTGTGAAGGCCTGACGGCCAGTGCCGCCGACCCTGGAAGACATCGACGACGACCAGGAGAGGGAGGAGGAGGAGGAGAAGGAGGAGGAGGAGGAGGAGGAGGCGGAGATCAGGAGGAGGAGGAGGAGGAGGAGGAGGAGCAAAAGGAAGAGGAAAAGGACTCTCCCCTGGGCCCCCCCCCTCCCTGGGGAGGAGGGCCGGAACTACTGTATCCCTTCTGCTATGATATATATATATATGATACATATATGCAAATTTGTTTTAATGTTATAACTGTCGAACAAAACAAACTGAGCAAAACAAAACATAACGCCACCTCGCAACGAGCTGGGGGGCCCTCTTCCCGCGAGTCGCAAGGCGCCTCGCCGCGGCCGCCGCCGCCGCCCCTCGCGCGGGCGGGCGCGGCCTCGCCGTCAAGCCGTGGCGAGGCGTCCTGGCTCGCCTGCAGCCCTACCAAAGAATTCGGGCCGGGCGAAAGGGGGGGATTGGGAAAGGGGGGGTTACGAAATCTGCTGCATGCAGCTGGTTTCGGCCCCGTCGGGGCCCATTCCTCGATACATAGCCGCCTCCGGCGCCGGGGGGCGCCGGGAAAATCAGCTACGTGAGCTGATTCCCCCCCCCTTTGCTATCCCCCCTTTCGCCCGACCCGAAGAATGTTCTAAGAACGTTTCGTGGTTTCCACGAAATGTTCGTAGAACATGTCTGGCCGGGATTGCTTTGGTTTATCACATCGGGTCGATGTTCTAAGAACATGTTGGGTTCTTAGACCGTTTTTTAGGAGCATTTCTTCGTGGTAGTACTATAGGAATGCCGGGACGGTCGGTCCCTGCTCAACGCTGGCCAGCTCTGCCCCCCCTGCGCCAGCGCCTGCGCCCGGCGGCGAGCGAGGGGGGGAAGTGAGAAGGGGGAAAGTGAAAGTTTCGGGCTCGAGGTTCCAGATCTTCGGGCGTTTTCGTCGGGTCTCGGCGGTTTCCCGGCCTCGGGGTGCGTTCCAGCGGCTGCGCCTCGCCGAGGGCGTTCCGGGGGGGCCTGGATCGCCCCGGACGGCCACTGGAGACTTGGAGAGTCGAGTGATGACCGAAAAACCATCAGGCGTCCGAGAAGGAGAAGGCCCTCTCAGCAGGCGGCGGGGCTTCTCAGAACCCTCGCGCCTTCTGAGGAGATGTTGCCCGTGTCTTCGGGGAAGGCTTAGAGGAAACTTCTCGGAAGACCAGGAGACTTCCGAGCCTTCCTGAGATCAAGCAGTGGCGAAGCGTCCTGGCTCGCCTATAGGCCCACCAAAGAATGTTCTAAGAACCTTTCGTGGTTTGCAGGAACTGTTCTTAGAACATTTCTGATTCAGACAATCTTGGTTTAACACAAAGGGTGAATGTTCTAAGAGCATTGTTTTTTGTTCTTAGAGCAGTTTTGGGTTGTGGGAACATTTCGTGGCAGGACTATAGGAATGCCGGGACGGTCGGTCCCTGCTGAATGGGAAGGCCCCCCCCTCTCGCTTCCCCCCCAGGGCCCGCCGCCGATCACCGGCGCCAGCGCTGCCCCCAGCAACGGCGCCTGCAGGGGCGCGCCACGCATCCCACTCCGCCACGCCCGCCCAGCGGCGCAGGCACCCCGAGCGGCCCGCGCCGTCGCGGCCTGACCAGCCTGCGGGCTGGCGAGCACGGCTGGCTGCGCTTGAGGCCCGCCAGGGCGCAGGCGGGGCTGATTGGCAGGTCGGCCCAGGGTATTCTTGCGTCCTGCGCGTCGCATCCCGTGCCTCCTGCACTCCGATGACCCATGGCCGTGTTGCCCTCGAAAGGGTCTGGTGTCCTCTCGCGTGCTCTCTCCAGTCAGCCCCGCCTGTATAGGCGTCCCGCGGGCGGGCCACGCACCTCCATGCCTCTCCGGCCGCAGCAGCAAGCACCGCACGACGCCTGCCGCGCGCCCCAGGCAGCGCCCGCGGCCGCTCCGCCCAGCGCTGCCGATGTCCGCGACGAGGCGGGCGGCGGCCTTCCCTGGGCAGCGCTCTGCCTCCAGCGGGCTGGGCGCCGCAGCGCGTGGCGGCGGCAACGGCAGCACTGCCCAGCCGCTGCCCCCGTCGGCGCCTGAGGTTTCGCTCGCGGCGTTCGGGCCGCTCCAGCACGAGCTCGAGCCGCGGGCGCCGCGAGGGCGCGGGGCACGGCAGCTGTTCCACGTCTGCGCCGCCACTCGTGCGCCACCCCGGGAAAGCCTCGAGAACCCTTGTCGATCCCAGGAGCATCTGGAGCCCCGTGGACGCCCCCTCCCCCTCCTCTAACCCCTCGTCCATCTTTGCCCCCGACGGGACGGAGCAGGGCAACGGCGGCGGCGGCCGCGGCGGCGACGGACGGCGGCGGGGGCGACGACGACGGCGAGCCGTCCTTTTCGAGGTGCGCCGCGGCATCTGCGTACGGATGTCCTTCGAAGCCCACATGGAGTCGAGGCCGCTCGCTGGGTGCCAGCGCGGCAGAGCGTCGTCCAGGGGCAACGTCAGGAGGGGGATTGGCTTGAGGAGGGATGCATCGACCCACCATCGCTCATTCATCGCCGATAGGGGCCCGACAGCCCACCCTGTCCAGGAACTTTCGGATTCGCCATCGGGGGCCCATCGCCGATCTGTCTCCGATTGCCGCCGGTCCCTGGTAGATGTTTTGCCCCCGGGAGCTGGTCCAACCCGACCGCTGCCTCTCAGTGGGAGACGCCGGCAAGGGGGAGGACGAAGCGTTGAGGCTTTGTCCCCTCCCGCAATCAGGCGATCGCAAACATGGATCAAGGGGGCGTGGGTTAGCGACGGGTCGCATTTCCATGGAACATCGCGGCTTTCCGCCGCCGAGCGAGGCGACACTGGCCGCAGTTTGGGGAGGGCACCTCCCCCGATCCATGGATTTGGCGACCGCGCGCCAAGTCTATGGGTCGCTCATCCATGTTTGCGCGCCCGCGAGGGTAGGGGGAGGGGGGAAGGCTTCTTAGAAGCAACCCTGCTTCTTAGAAGGCGCGAGGCTTGTCTATAGATGCAAGACCGCCGCCTTCTGAGAGGGGGTGTTTCTAAGAAGCCTTGCCCCCTCCCCCTGACCCCCTCTGCGCGCCGCCAACCTTCCCCTCCCATCCTACGAGGAAGACACAGCGGCATGAGCATAAACTCCAGTTGGGCGTGCCCCTCTACAGGAGGCAAACCTAAGAGCAGTCGAAAAGATAGCCTTTGCGCGCCCGCGAGCAAAGCAGGTCAAAAATAGAACATTGTCAAACATAGTCGAAACGATAGTCGAAAAGACAGTCGAATTGATAGTCGAACGTAGTCGAAACATAGAACATTGTCGAACATAGTCGAGCATAGTCGAAAATATAGTCGAGAATAGTCGAAAATAGTCGAAACATAGAAAATAGTCAAATATAGAAACTAGTCAAAAAGATAGTTGCGGAAACTGCCGGGGTGGGGCTGCGCCCGGGAGGCCGGAGCGGCCCCACGGGGCGCGTCCCGCGGGGGCCGCGCCGTTTCTGCGCCGTGTGCTCTCGCGGGGTAGGCGGCGCGAGCAGAGAGCGCCTCGGAAGTGGAAACGAAGAGCATCGAGGCGAGGAGGGGGAGGAGGAGGAGTCGGAGGAGGGGGAGGA